TGATTATGTTTAGCAGAGAAAAAAAAGCAGAGAGAGAAAACTGATCAATTTTCTCTGTTAAATGCAGCCATTCTTTCTCTCTATTTTATATATGGAGACAAATTTGTAGAAATATTTTATCATTCGATGACTACACAGAGAGAATTTTTGTTTTAAATTTACCCTGAAAATATGATAGTTGTGGTACAATACAATATTTTAAACATTTTTACCATGCACTTTAGTAAAATTGATCAAACTTATTTTATACTTTATTAAAGTTTTATTAATGAATGAGAGAGATTTAAAATTCTTTGAAATACCCACAACTGTCATATTTTCAAGGTAAATTCTAAGAAAAAATTCTCTCTGTATACGTCTCGCGAATGAAAACAACATGGAGCAACAGCGATGATGACTAATGAAGTTTTATTATAAAATAAAAACCAGAATGACTCAATGAAGATCACCACGGGTGCATTCCGTTTCACGCATGATGCGCATGATGCATCATTTGTCCTTGTTCACCGAATGTTAAACAAGGATAAATGATGTATCATGCACATCATGCGTGAAACGGAATGCACCCCACGAAATTCGCCTTGCATGTTTTCGCAAACGGACGAATAACAGATGAAGAATGATAGTAATCGTCAAGATATGATTGAATGGATTTATAAATATTTTTTTTAAATATTCATAAATGTAATCTGCGTATTAATTAACTACAGGGTGGGCCATCTATTGGTACGTTTTTACAGAGTGGGCCATCTATTGGTACGTTTTTAAAAATGCGATCAAATGAGCATACATTGAACATAAACTTTTGAGGCTTTTAGGAAATTTTCTTCAGAGGTGGCAATGGATTTGCGGATTGTTATCGTGATTTATTGCTAATTGGGTCACGACACGGTGATAACTCGCAAACCTTTTAGCATCTCTAACTAAAAACATATTATTCTTGCTCGAAACTTATCAATAATTAGATATACGTCTAAATATTAAAATTTATTTGTATAACATTTAATCTTTTACGACAAACAATTCAGAATAGATTATTGGAGATGTATTATAAAGGAAATATAACATATATTTATAAATAAGCCTAATTTGTTTAGACAATATTTCTTTACTGATTGTCAGAGAAAAGTGTTTAATATTTATGAATATAATTACATGATAAAATAATTATGATTAAAAGTTCCATTTGTATAATCATTACTGCTATTAGTGTGTCCGGTGAATACACCTAATATTCGAATAAATAAATAAAAAATGAATGAAAATACTTATTCGAATACACTTATTTTTTATTCGTCAAGAAACGAATAAATACTTTTTCTTTCCATTTGAATAAATATTTTTTTAATTATATGATTATGAATATTTTCGTTTCGTATTCACTTTTACTCTGTATTATCCGCACAAAGCTTGCAAGCCTGCAAGAAAAAACAAATCTATAAAATCAATAGCTACGATTACACCGTGTGCTTAATTCGCGATCTATACGATTCTATACGAAATGCGTCCTTGTTTAACCTATAGGTTTTTATTGGGAATAAATAAAATATCTCGGAATTTAATGGTCACAGACCATAATGAAGGACCTGCCCAAAATATCTTATAAAATAATGTTTATAACATTACTGTGATGTAACCGGAATTATATTGGAATATGTATGGCGCTCTATCAAATAGATATTTATAAATAAAAAATGTATGATTGCTTTCTACAATATTTTTCAAAATTTCTAAGTTTCCTTCATAAAATCTGAATATTACAATGACAAAAATAAATAAAATTAATTTTTTTTTACTTAAAGTCATCACAGTGTGTAGTTATAGTTAAGGGGTAACGGTTGCTTATTAAAGCTTTCTTTTTCAGTTTACATTTTGTTTGAATGAATATGAATACTCGTTAAATATTCATAGGCTTTTTGTGAATAAATATATTTTTTTAATTTTGAATGAATATATGATTTTTTTTTATGTGAAAATTTTGAATAAATATAATTTGAAGCTCAATTTTTGTATTCATCGGGTACACTAACTGCTATGTAATGTTAGTAATAATAATTATATTTATAGTTCTGTATTTATAGTATATATACTAAAAGAATATATGATTCTCAAATAATACAGTTGTTTACAAAGACAACTGTATTAGATTGACTTTTGAAAAAATCCAATATAGTCGAAACTCATAAATTTTGAGCAGAATAGCATCGAAAATAATGCTGCACATGGGACTCCAGATGTATTACACGTCAAATCAGATATCATTTGAGATATGGTTATTTTTAGTTTTTTTTTTTAATTTGCTGATAAAAATACGAGATAAGTACGAGTTTCGCGAAAAAAATTTAGATTTTTTTATGAATAACTTCACATTTAAATTTTTTTTCGCGAAACTCGTGTTTCGTATTTTTATCTGTAGAATATGTCAGCAAATTTAAAAAAAAATTAAAAATGATGTTTCAAAGATGTCCGGTTGGAATGTTTCTCCAATGAGACGATGTGCGACCTCAATTTCGCTCCGTTTTATCCCGTTATTATTCATATAACTTTATTTATTGACGTAATACGCATCTTCGACGTTTATCATCCACTTAGCGTCGCTAAAATGTAAGCACGCGAGCTATCGTTACCCGATAACATTTACGATCATCTCACAATTTTTAAATAAGATTGTTACGTCCGAATAAGCGAGGAGGAAAGGGGGCGAACTTGAAAGAGAAGGGGAAAGCGCGGAACGCGAGGCGCGCGGGGTGGAACCTTAGTTCCTGGCACGGATAAGTATTTTATGCGCGAATTTTCCGATTTTTCGCGAGGGCATTCGTGACCCTTTCGGGACTCCGTCAGCAGCGCGTCACCATAATGCCGGATCTGGCTACTGCGAGAGTCGTCATCAGTCGGAGTCCTTGTAGAAGGGTCAGGGTGGCAGAAAGGGAAAAGACACGGCGAGGTAAAATAATAAATACGATTCGTTACTTTTCTATATTTATTTTAATGTTACACCTCTCTACCGAGATGACCCTCGGCAGAGTTCTACCCGTGATCACCCGTGGGTCTGGTCGGGATCCTGATGGGGATAACCGAGGTGTCAGGCGGAGGGAGCCCCTGGACCAGGCGAGCACTTGGCTCCGGGAATCTCCGTCCGGTTCCGGAGCGGAAGGGCCCGCGGCGTGCTCGGGGTGAGGAGCCCCCGATCTTGTCTCCCCGAAGACGGCAGGGTCGAAATTGCGGGCCTAAAGTGTCTTTATGAATCTTCTTAACTGGCGCCGCCCCCTCCCCGTCGTGATCGGCCCATCTAACACACATTGCGTAGATTAATCAAAAGAGAAAGCAGAAGGGAGAAAGAGAGAAAAAAGGAAAAAAATAGATAAAGTTGTCGATAGATAACCCAACGAATCCCAGCCCTACACGAGGGTGATACGGTGAGAGAAGCGGTAAGACTTATTTATATAAATTTATTTATGTAAATATAAATTTTATATAAATTTTATATAAATTTTATTATTAACAGACTGTGTAACTTATTTGTTTTTATTTCTATTATTACTTTATCACAACACAACATATTACATTATAAGTATTACATTATACGTATTTTTGAAATTACGTATTTGAAATTTCACTGAAATATATGTGTTTCAAAACTTACAACAATTTCAGCGAAATGTCACACAAATTTCAGCAAAATTTTTCCACCAGGGTCTTTGTAATCTTCTATAAGAATGTAATAATTAAAAAATTACTCAGGAAACAAATTTTATAATTTAAATAAATCATCAAATACTTGCATTAATATATTTACTATTGCTGCAACATTTTTCACATAAATGTTTAATTTTTAACACACAATGCATCATAGAAGGCGTGGTTTAGAAATTTGACGGTCAAACCGATAAGCCATGCCAAAATCGCACGGGTTTCGAGCGAATTTCGCACGTTGAAGAGGGGTGCTTTATGCGTACTGCGCTCGTGCAGCTATCGTAAAAAGCTGGTATGACCGTAGCACGCATCACATTCTTTTTTTTCATAGCGATTCTCGTGCCATGATTGCACGACTTCATGCATAAACAGATTGAACGATGGTGCTATTAGCGCATTGAAATAGGCCACTCGATAGTAGTATCGACTGTCCGTGCCAAAATCGTAACAGATTTCTCTATAGCGGAAAAAATTTAACGACCTAAAATAACAAATAAATTACTCGTGATTAATATATCATTTATATCAAATGTACATACATGTCTAAATGCAATTGTTTCTTTATATATATAATAAAAGATTTAAATATAAAATTTATTCTATAATGAGATCTCGTATATCTTACATTGGTTATACGGTCCAAAATCTTTTTTTACAATCAATATAAATAATAATTTTGGTTTTTGACCACGAATCCATTATCTAAATTTGTACTTGAATCATACACTAAATCAAAAGCAATATGAAATTCACAAAATACAATATGGAAAATGATAATCTTAAATCATATACACATTAAAAATTATGATTTTTCTGCTATGTGTTATATTTTTGTTAATTTTATTGCTTTTTGATTTAGTATAATTCGACTATTATGTTATGTAGGTACAAAAACATTTGCTTTCTATATACATAATGCAGTATTAAGATGAACAAAAAGTCTTTTTATGTGTATTACATATGGAAAAAAAGCTATTTTCAAATTGTTGTATTTTGAAAACGAAAAATCAAACCAAAATAAAAATTTATTTTAAAGCTAATATTGATATTTTCGCATTAATAAAATTTAGAAAAATATTTGTTGGCGATATTACAATGTGATAAAAATCATAATTTTGTGCCTCTTATTTGCCATTTTTCTAAAAATTCTTAATAACCAAATTTCAGTTAATGGATTTGTATTCAACAAGTAAAAATATCAAAATTAACTATATTCATACTCATGAAAAGAGGATCGGATAGAATTATCCGTCATCGTCATTACCATCGCATTTAGAGTTGAAACATATTGCAGGAAGAAACGAGATACTTCCTTCTCGTATTACGCTGTATCGATTTACGGACATTTGACAACGTCCAGACCAGTCCAGACCGAGCAGCTGCAGCGGCGGAATGTCTCAAGAATGATTAACGCAGTCGAATTTATTTGTAGTCGTTTGCGACCCGAAAAGTAGGGATGTTAAGTGCATGGACTCAGGAGCCAAAATCCCGACACGTGTATAACCTTGATATTGACCTTCACGAAGCGACCAGTCGACCCATGAGATCAGAGGCGTAGTGAGGGGTTGACGAATCTGGCCTATGTCGGCTGGTGTGCGCCCTTGGCATGGGCCAGTTTCGTCAACCCCTCACTACGCCTCTGATTATACTTCATGGGTCGACTGGTCTCTTCGTGAAAGTCAATATCAAGGTTATACACGTATCGGGATTCTGGCTCCTCACGAATGTGTGTGAAGTTAGCCCCCCTTTTTTTGAAAATTAAAATTTTGACAATTGTTCCAGATTGTTCTGAGTTTGTTCTACATTGTTCCAAAGCGATATCATCTTATTCCAAATCGTTCTCCAATAAAAGGAAAAAACGAATTTTTTTTGCTAGCCTCCCCTTTTTGGAATATCAAACAATTTTTTTTTGCTACAGATTGTTCTAGTTGTTCTAAACATTGTTCCAAAAGAATAATTCCATATGACGAACAGAAATGGCAGAAAACAAAAAAACATTTTCTTATCCGGCACCCCTTTTCTTAATATTCGAAAAATTCATTATCGCGATAAATTGTTCTAGTTGTTCCAAACATTGTTCCAAAAAGACAATTTCGTAAATCAAACAGAAAACGAGAAAAATAAAAAATAAACGTTTTTCAACAAATAAAAGCTCCGACAAAAAGAAAAGGTACAATCTCCTTATCCCAACGCAGAATTTTATATTTTCAGTTGTTCTAGTCCTGAGAAACATAATTCTGCATTATGAATCATCCAACGCTACTGGTTCTCCCAAAAATCGAAAAAAATCCATATTTTTGCATCAACCATCAAGAGTAAAGGTGCGCTTCCTCTCTTGTTCCAATCGAGAACTGTTTGTTCTGAGTTGTTCTAGTCCTGAGAAACATAGTTCTGCATTATGAATCATCCGACGTTACTGGTTCTCCCAAAAATCGAAATTTTCGATTTTTGGGAGAACCAGTAGCGATGGATGATTTATAATGCAGAATTATGTTTCTCAGGACTAGAACAACTGAAAATATAAAATTCTGCGTTGGGATAAGGAGATTGTACCTTTTCTTTTTGTCGGAGCCTTTGTTTGTTGAAAAACATTTATTTTTTTTTCTCGTATTCCGTTTGATTTACGAAATTGTCCTTTTGGAACAATGTTTGGAACAACTAGAACAATTTATCGCGATAATGAATTTTTCGAATATTAAGAAAAGGGGTGCCGGATAAGAAAATGTTTTTTTGTTTTCTGCCATTTCTGTTCGTCATATGGAATTGTTCTTTTGGAACAATGTTTAGAACAACTAGAACAATCTGTAGCAAAAAAAAATTGTTTGATATTCTAAAAAGGGGGGGCTAGCAAAAAAATTCGTTTTTTCCTTTTATTGGAGAACGATTTGGAATAAGATGATATCGCTTTGGAACAATGTAGAACAAACTCAGAACAATCTGGAACAATTGTCAAAATTTTAATTTTCAAAAAAAGGGGGGCTAACTTCACACACATTCCTCACGATCGTAAAGCGCTTTTTACCAGTGACCGTGGCATCTTGCGAACGCTGTTTTAGCAAGCTTAAATTGAAAAAATTATCTCCGTTCTTCGATGAATCAAGAAAGATTGACCAGTCTTGCTTTATTATCAATTGAACATAAAGTGTTCTCATAAATTAATCTAGAAGATATAATTAATAAATTTGCTGTAGTCACAAAGCGAGAAAAGTGAAATTTTAACTTTTTTACAAAACATATATAACTTTAAAAGTAATGAAATATTTATACTTTCTAACATACTAATGTTTAAATGTATAGATTAGAAGACATATTTATAAGATAAATAAATTATTAAACTCTAAAGATGTCAAAATATATGTAAAAATTGTTTAATAATTTATATATACTTGTAAAAATGATGAAAATTAATCCAGGAACGAAGAACCGAACGCGTGTGTATTAAATTATATTATATATTATACTTTTTATTTATGCAATTATATGTATATTCATGACAAATTATAGATAAATTATTATAACTAAATATAGTTAACGAAATGAGAAAAATGCACTGTTTCATATAAAAATGTAAAACTCCGAAACAAAAATGTTTAAAGGAAAAATATAGTTCAATATCTTAAAATTGATATTCTAAACTACAAAAAAGAAATAGTTCAAGTGTCATTTGTCCAAAAAGTTTAATTATTGAGTAACCTGAAAATGATGTTTTTTTAATATGCATAAATGCTATACATTGAAGATATATGCATTTACATTTTAAACAATGCATTTTATTATTGCTATTGTGTTGAAAAAAACTTATAATTAAATTAGGAAAATGTCCTTTATAACATTACAGACAACTTAATTTATAATATTACTGACAACATTTAGAACAAGGGTACCAAAAATCGTGTTTATTAAGGGCTAATATATTGTTTTAGGGTTAAATTCTTTTTTTAATAATTCGCGAGATATTCCTGCAATACAACTAAGAATTAGTTGAAAATAAAGAAAAAAAAAATTTTTTTAATTACAAAAAATGCACATCCTGTACACACATTAGGTCATTTGTGACCTAGAGGTGAACTTCGGAGTTATAAGCCCGATCTACATAAGATGCAGAACGCAGGTCGCAGGTCGCAAGTGAAACGTACTTCAGATTGTAACAAGTCGCAGACCTCAATACATACACTGAGAAAAAAGTTTTGTTGATATGTGACCAACAAAAAATTTTTCGTTGTCCTAACCAAAATTTGGTTATGCTAATAAAATTTTTGTTAGGATAACATAAAAGTTTTTGTTAGAATATATGATTAACAAAAACTTTTATGTTATCCTAACAAAAATTTTATTAGCATAACCAAATTTTGGTTAGGACAACGAAAAATTTTTTGTTGGTCACATATCAACAAAACTTTTTTCTGAGTGTAGGGCGCAAGACGCAAGGCGCGAAAGTTAAAATTCACCCAACATTCTGCGTCCTGCGTTCTGCGTCCTACAACTATATTATAATTAAAGTACGTTAGGTTAATTTCTAGTTTTACGACCTGCGACGCGCGTCTTATGTAGATCGGGCTTTATGCCAGTTAAAAGATGTGCATGAATTGAGGCCGGTAACGCACAAAACTTGTTCTCTATATAGATGCCAAACTTTGTTTAGGAATAGAAAAGAGACCGGTATTTGACCAGGTGCTCTTACAATTAGCAGGGTAACTGCGGGTAATACGCCAGTTACTCTACACAACGAGTGGCATATTCCCCGGGGAACATGCCACTCGTTGTATTTAACATAATAATATCGATTAGCAGCACTTGCGTTAGTGCCACAAAATTATTTACAATTGTGTGCTTAACGTGATGCATAAGTATCAAGACTTTTCTGGCGACAGTATTGTTTTTATAAGGTAAATATGACGGTATGGTATACGAAAATGTGCTGCTTATAACTTTTGTAGTGCTTTATGTAAGTTATTATTTAAATATTACACAATATTTAACTCGATTAGCTTTAGTTAATAATGTAGGTTCAAATGAAAATGTTCAGTACATCGTTGATTCATTTTTTTAACAGCCGTATTGTACAAGCTCATTATAAGATGAAATGGCGTCTTGGGACAATATGCCACTACTTTTGTTAGGGTAAAATGTAGTCATTTTCTCTAATATATAAGTTAGGGCGCTATAAACAAACGTTTTGCCGTATAATTCCATTGTGAAAGGATATTCGTATTGACAAATACTTAATAAATAAACTTAAATGTTTATTTGCTTATTATTGTATTATATTAATTTACTGCAGTTCAATTCAAAATTCTGAATAGAGAATACCATTTTTTAATCCATTTAATGGATTGAATTTTCTTAATTACTGGAACTTGAACTACTTGTAACACTATGTAAATATAAAGTAAAACGAATATTTATTTATACGTTTCATACTTACACATTACATATTTTTACTTTTAAAAATGTAATTGGATAATATCTAATTGTTACAGTAGATGGATTCACAAGGACTGTTCGTAAAAAGATATATTTAAGCAATTAAAAACGTGTCTCACAGTTTATTTTACATGTTGTATAACTACGGAGACCATACGTCCTTTATTGTAAAGGATAGTTCTTCATTTTACGTAGCCGTCCTTTAAATTTATTTGTTTCTTCAAAACTCATTTTTGTCCTTTATTTTCCAATATTGTCCTTTACTGTCATTTATTTGATATTTTTTATTATTTCGAACCTTTTATTATTTCAGATCAAAAGTTTGTTCCAATACAGTCCAATACATGGAAGAAAAAGATCAGTATGTAAAATTATTTTAAATTGAACAAATAATTACTCAAAAATTTAATTTTGCTTAAGTGTGGCATATTCATCACATTTGCCCTATTAACAAAAAAAAGAAATGCGCAGGACACGAATGACCCAGAGGTATGTATTAAGGGATAAATATATAATTTATAATTTTATATATATATATATATTTCTCATTGTAGTGGTTTTTATAATTTTTTCTACTAATTATTTTTATTAATATATAATTACTTTTATTAATTAAAAAATTTTTTAACTTGGATAATTTTTTTGACATTATGCGTCGATTATATATTATACATTTTATTCGTCATTAAGTTCACTGGTGCATCAGAAATCAACGTTTTGTGCTAATTTGATAAAACTAAAAAATTTCATAATTTACATGAAAGCTTATCTATAAGGAGTATTTTTAGGTCGCTGATGACAAATCTATTTTAAATAGTCATGTATGAGTCATTACCAGATGGGGCGCTTTTTTTCACTCATATAAGTCATCATCAATGGTGAACTGATTAAGAT